CTGCAGCCACTACTCCAACTACTACTAGTACAACCACGACCACACCTGCAGCTACTTCTCCAACTACTACTAGTGACTGCAGCCACTACTCAACTACTACTAGTGACCACACTGCAGCTACTTCTCCAACTACTACTAGTACAACCACGACCACTGCAGCCACTACTCCACTACACTAGTACAACACGACCACACCTGCAGCCACTACTCCAACTACTACTAGTACAACCACGACCACACCTGCAGCCACTTCTCCAACTACTACTAGTACAACCACGACCACACCTGCAGCCACTACTCCAACTACTACTAGTACTGCAGCCACTACTCCAACTACTAGTATAGAGCCACACACTTACTAGCACGACCAACCTCACTACTACTACTAGTACTGACCACGAGACCTGTCCAACTACTACTCTCTACACAGACTACTACTCCAGTGACCACGACTGCGGCTACGACGACAAGCACCACCACATCCTCAACACCACCCATGAGCCCTTCTGTAGTCGTAACTGTAACATCGACTGTGACGGTGACTGCTACCGCAAGCACGACTCCTTCCACGACCACAGCAACTTCTACCATATCTCCTCCTCCTCCTCCATCCGTCGTAACCGTAACAGCGACTCAGACTGTAACCGCAACGGTGACGACGACCCCGTCTCCGACTTCGACCCCGGCTCCGACCTCGACCCCGGTTCCGACTTCGACCCCGGTTCCGACTTCGACCCCGGTTCGACTTCGACCCGGTTCCGACTTCGACCCCGGTTCCGACTTCGACCCCGGTTCCGACTTCGACCCCGGTTCCGACCTCGACCCCGTCTCCGACCTCGACCCCTCTGGCCACCCCGACAGCCCGCTAAGAGGAATGGGAACACGAAGACTACGAACCTGTTTATCTTATGTTTATGTTTATATTGTACATCGTCCAGTGTCCCGGATGTAAGTTACCCTGACTGGAAATGGCTGTAGGAAACCAAAACATTTGTATGCTGGAGCTGACGTGGAAATAAAATGAGACAGAGACTCATTATTGTTTGCAACCTGAGACAGATTTAATGATGGTCATTATGGAAATCATGAATAACGTGATGGTTAAAGGTCTTATCTTGCTTTTAAGGGATACAATGCATTGAGTGAGCAAATGAATGGTTCGGTCTATTTTCACAGTATATGTGAAAATACTGTGCATATTTATACGTGCCTTACGTGAACATTTATCATCTTGGAAAAAAATAATTTGATACCACTGTTATGTGAAAACTGCATATACCAATATGAGAAACAATTTTATCAGCTGCATTTTATGTGGTAAACCTGTTGAATATATATAGATGGGTTGCCTACAAAATGCACGTTTAATGCTTCCCTGTAATTAGGCATATATGATCAACATCATATGATATACCCTGATCTGTAAATATCAACATCCAGTTTTCTAATGATTTGGTTGGTCATATCACAGATGGGTCTAGTCTTAAAGCTTTTCGATGTGAAGGATAACGCGACTGCCATACCTATGTTTTTATCCTTAAATTCCCGAGTGGCGATGTGTTCTTTATAGTTGGTACACCATAGTTACACCCAACTGTGTTTCCGGACACCCTTTGCTCACACTATATCTGTCATGTATGTGATTGTTTTTGTGAGACGTGACTAATAATTTCCAGTCTATTGAGTCTGCGTTTCACTGCAAACATTAAGCTTTGGTGTTGGTTGTATAGGAATTTACTTTATGCAGTCGGAAAAGTACGCCCGTTTTGATTAAGGCATTAGTTTCCTCTCGATCAATTGCCTTTATTGCAAGGCGTACGAAGAACAGTCAGTTACTCAAAATCGTTTCGTATCAAGTCTTGCACAGACATTAGCTATTCACGTTGCAAAACCTGCCGGTGGTGTAGCTGGCTGATGTTGGCATAACACGCTGTACTGTGTTATATCGTACTGAGTTATTGAAGAAATAACGTTCAGTTCATTCGTTATAATTCATGAAGTGATGCCAATCTTTCTAATTGAATAAGTGTTTCATTATCATCTTGTCACTTCCATTATTTTGCCATTGAGAATATCGCAAATAGAAAGAAATCTAGTGATGCAATTATGATATCAGGGTCTGATCCTGTTACTTTAGCAGTCATTCCTTCGTTATTATAGCATTCTGAATGAAAATTACCTAGAAATATTTGGTGATGCTAAAGGTATGCTTCATATCTAGTTCTAAAGTGGGCTTAAACTTAATGCTTACTTAAAAAAATATTTGATACTCGATTTTCATGTAGGTATAATATTCAAAAATTGAAAGATATTTGATTTCAATAAATATCACACGAATTTTTTACTGTTAGAAGTAAAACATTTTAGAAGTAGGATTTAAAAAAAATAGAAGTGAGGTGGCCACAATCTACAGAATTTAGAATTCCATTTGAATATTTTCACCACGATAAGTGATAAAGTCATGCTCTCTTCAAACTAACGTAAACAATGACCTTACGCCATTCATGATAAAACATGATGAAACTCAGGACGGTCCAAATAAGACACAATAATATCTACATGAATTTATTTATAGTATTTATAGCATTAATTTTTCTTTAATATTTCCCACTGATAAAAAAAAATCAGGATAACCAACACCCTTCGTCCCTTTGTCTATGAACGTCGCTCGTTGCAGAGGCAGCCACACGAGCCTCGGCTGAATGCCCTGGAGGTTGGAGACTTGGCGGGCCGTAGCTGAGGTCGTGGGGCTTAGTCGCTGGAGTAGTGGTCGTACTTGTAGTCGTTGGAGTAGTGGTCGTACTTGTAGTCGTTGGAGTAGTAGTCGTACTTGTAGTCGCCGGAGTAGTGGTCGTACTTGTAGTCGCTGAAGTAGTGGCCGCAGAAGTGGTCGCACTTGTAGCTGAGGTCGTGGGGCTTAGCAGTCGCAGCGATTGAGAGGTCTTAGTGGGTTTAAATGGGGTCGTAGTTGCTGTCGCAGGAGTCACCGTCGGCACCCGAAAAACCTCAGCACTCGTTCAACAATTCGCAGCTGAAATCATTGGCCGCAGAGGAGGATGGCGGGACCGTCGGTGTTGCAGAAACCATGGCCGGGGTCGTGGCTTAAGTCGTAGTCATGGTTACACTAGTCGTAGCGGTCGTGCTTATAGCACTCGTAGAAGTGGCCGTAGTTGTAGTCGCTGGAGTAGTGGTCGTAGAAGTGGCCATACTTGTAGTCGTTGGAGTAGTGGTCGTAGAAGTGGCCATACTTGTAGTCGTTGGAGTAGTGGTCGTGGTTGCACTAGTAGTCGCTGGAGTAGTGGTCGTGGTGTCAGTGGCCGTAGTAGTCGCTGGAGTAGTGGTCGTAGAAGTGGCCGTACTTGTAGTCGCTGGAGTAGTGGTCGTAGAAGTGGCCGTACTTGTAGTCGCTGGAGTAGTGGTCGTAGTAGTTGTAGTCACCGGAGGAGTGGCCGTAGTAGTTGTAGTCGCTGGAGGAGTGGCCGTAGTAGTTGTAGTCGCTGGAGGAGTGGCCGTAGTAGTTGTAGTCGCTGGAGGAGTGGTAGTACCTGTAGTCGCTGGAGTAGTGGTCGTAGAAGTGGCCGTACTTGTAGACGCTGGAGTAGTGCTGGTTGCACTAGTAGTAGCGGTCGTAGTAGTAATCATAGTCATACTCGTGGTAGAGGTTGAAGTTGCCGTGGGGGCAGTCGTACCTGTGCTTGCGGCCGTGGTTGCACTGGTAGTAGTAGTCGGAGTGGTGGACGTAGTTGTACTCGCGGTCGTAGCTGTATTCGTGGTTGAGGTCGACATGCCCGTCGCGACACAGGCAGAGGCGCTGAAGGGGAGGGCCTCGGGCACGCACCCAGCCACGGAGATCGTGACGGTGTCAGTCGGGTGGCTGACGGTGGCTGTGACCACGGTCTCCAGCGCCGTCTTGGTCACCACTGTCAGCAAGCCGATCGGTGGAAGGAAGCCGATGATGCGCTCTGGATTTGTGGAAAGACATAGGCCATGTTATTGAATGCAGCCCAAACGAGGCACAAGACAAACAATGGACATTTTGCACAAGGGTTGTAACGAAGAAATGACTTAAAGACTTACCGTTATCCAGCTGCAGATCAGATTTGAAAGAAGGCAGAAGGAAGTTAAATGCACGAGCTTTCGGCTGCTCTTCGTACCTGTGGAAAAAAAGGTGGTATAAAGACATGAGACGAGAAGATGAGCAAGAAAGATGTATTTATAGTATGGACGATGTTGAGAAGGAAAAAATATAAATTTTGGAAGTAGGATATGCTTTTACCTGAAAGCAAGGGCAGTTGGGACGACGGCCACGAATCGGGGTCCAGTCTTCGCGGAGCAAGGAGGGAGGCCGGCGGCGTGAACCATGCAAGTTGCCAACGTGGTGACTTGGGTCTGTATCGTGTGGAGTACCTATGGAATACCAGGGAAAATAATAATTAAGATAAACGAAAAGAAATCTCCAGGAACGTTTACGAGGTAAGAAAAGGTATCCAGCAGAGCAAACCAAAACAGGTAATTAACTCACTGTTGCTGTCCTGGTGAAGAGGAAGCTGGTCTCAGCTCTCACGACGAGGCCCGGCAGGAGCGGACCGAAGCCAGCTTGCGCCTCCTCAACAACGGCGGACGTCGCGCCTAGCAACGCCAAGGCAAGGAACAACTGAGAAGGATCCACTTCATGAAATATCACGCGAGAATTATTCCCTAATGCATGAATATTATAGGAAGCCATGTACTAGAATGCGATATATAATGGGCTACTATCTCTACAGGTGAGGACCATATAATTCTGGACGCACAGCGAGGCGCGTAGATCACTGACAAATTATATTGTCGATACAGTCATTTTGGATCACACATAATCAACCAATTTTTGCCAAAGGCAGTAATACATAAAATAAGATAAACATACCTTCAGGAGGGTGACCATAGTGCGGAGATTCGAAGTCTACTGTAACGAGGATACCCTGATCGCTTCTTTTATGACCGACTTTGCCGACCTGGCG